AAGTGCAGTGAATGTTGGCTGTTAAAAATTTGCATTTGCGAAGTTGGGCTTCAACCATCCCCCCCTAAAAAAAAAAAAAAAAAAAAAACATTCCTTAAGAGACAAAACACACAGTCTTTGGCTTATTTTAATCTTTCTGACAATGTACAGCAGTTTGCACATACCATAAGATGGATTTTTGTGACATGCACACACCTGTGCAACCTGCCCCTGAGTCAGGACAAAGTCCTCTACCAGCATTCAAAGCTGCCTTGACATCCCTCTCAACCTTAAGCACAAAGCCTACAAAGTTAAAAGTTACTCTCCCTAACACGGGTACCCACTATGCTGACTTGTAGCAGTTTAGATGCGTTTGCCTATTTGTGTACTTGGTGCAAATGACATCATACAACATTTTGCATTTGGTTTAGTCAATCTCCATGGCCTTTTGATGGCCTGTACTCTGGCAGGAGGCACCAAAACCAATAATGTTCACGTTATGAGGCAGAAGTACAAAGCAGTATACTAGTCATTGTTTTCCCCACTTGCTGGGCCTACCTTTCCCCATGACTGCAGTAAGATAAAGATTCAGGTCTATACAACTCCAGTAGCCTTAGAAGCTAAAGTACCAAATCAGGGAGGAACTTGCCAAGGTCCTTGAAGAGAATCCAGGCCTGGGGATCAGAGAAGTCAACTTTGCTAGGCTGAGTATCTCCTCCACAAAGCAGCCTCCTCCCTATCTCCCCCTTGGGCCTGGCCTTTTCACAGTCCCACTTTCACCAACAATGAGCCCTCATGGCTGGCCTTTCAGCCCCCACAAGGCTCTTTCGAGGATGCCCACTACCTTTTTGGCCTTTGCCATAGAAGGACTTCCAGTTCCTCTCCGTATTTTTCAGCTTAGAGCTGAATTGGAGACACCCAGGCAGGGACAAGTAGATCTTGACAGGGATGGGAGCATGATGGGGCAGGCAGGCAGGACCACTTCCTTTAGCATCCCCCTCTCCCAGAAGAGAGAGACACACTAAACAGTTTGCACACCTGTTTATTTTGGAGGAGTGTCTGTGGGCTTGAAGGGAGAAGTGGGAGAAGACAGCAGGAAAGATGTCAGAATGTGAGTACCTGATGGAAAACTCCAGAGAGTTCCGGAAAGGTACTCTGGGAGAAGAAAGGAGTGCTTGGGGGCGGCCACCAAGAGGAAGAGAACTAGGGTTTGGGTCAAGTGACTCAAGAGAGGCAGAGAGGACTATTGGGAGTGGCTGGAAGTTGTCCAGGTGGGAGTTTGGAGGGTGACTAGAAACATAGCATTTCTACCCAAAGGTCTTTGCAGTTGTTCTAAGGGTTATAGATCGCTCTGCTGTGAGGGTCATTGCAGAAATCCAGGAAGCAGCATCGAGAGTATATCCAGAAGCCAAACACTGGAGATGTTCGGGTATATGAGCAGTCATTCATCTGTTCCTTGCGGCGGCAGTCACTCACCATGATGTCAGTACTACTGCCTGGGGGAGAGGCCCGGAGTGCCAGTGAGAGGGAGGTCCTGAGGCAAGGCCCCAAATCCTCTCATCCCTTCACTCCACATTGATTTATCGTCATTACCCACACACCGTGCCCTGGGCCAAACAAAAACTGAAGTGATTGCTAGAATCTGGCTGAGGTGAAGAGTGCTCAGTGAGTCACCAGCCACAGAACTTGGCTAAAGTTTTCCATGGAAGGCTGGGGGGTGGCGACAATAAGAGCCATTTGGATAAAGGGGACTGAGTTGGGACTTGTGGGAAAAGTGGGAAGAACCAGCACTGAGGAACCATGTAAGAAAATGTTAGATATATTGGAGGCTGGATTGCTGAGAAGAAGAGTTTACATTTTGGACCTACTTGTATAGGTCCAAAGTAGGAGAATAACATGATTCTCTCTTTCTAGAAATATATCATAGACGAAAAAAAATCTTTGTGCCCATGTCCTAAGAAGTCAGGTCCAGGGTTGTTCACTGCTGCCTTGCTTTGAGAGAGTGAAAAATTAGAACTTCAATGCCCATCAGAGTTGGGATGGATAAACCAGCTCTGATATGCCCCCATTGTGGTCAACGCAGCAAGGAAGCTGTTTACAAATGGCTATGTTTGAAAAAACAAGTGCAGAACAATGTTTTACAATGGTACGTTACTTTGGTGGGGAGAGTGGGGAAGAGACAGAAAAGGAGTAAGCAGCATATTTGTATATGCCGGATATGCACAAAAGACCCCTGAAAGGATGATCAAGAAACCAAAAAAAGTGGTTATGTGTGGCTCATGTGTGGGGACTGGGCAGATTGGAAACAGATTGGGAGGAGATTTTCCTCTGCTGCCCTTGTATACTCTCTGGTATTTGAACCATGTCTATGCATCAGCTATTTAAAAGGTATAATGAAGGATTTAAATGAAGGCAGCTTTAGGCAGTGGTTAAGAGCACCATCTCTGGAGTCACCACAGATTCTGGCTCAACCTCTATAATGACTCCCTCATGGGTTTGTAATGCTTAGAACAGTGCCTGGCACATCCTATGTGTTACATAAGATGTCTGTTAACTGAAAGAGAGGTGGGGGTGGGATTGGGTCGAAGAGTAGGCATGAGGAACAAGAGGATGTAGTCAATTTTCGGTAAGGCAGAGATGTCCAGAAGATAATCTGACAAGAGGAGAGCTGTTTGAGCTAAACATTCAGATTCGGAGGGAAGCAGTACGTGGCTGCTGGTTGAAGCCAAGGCAGCAGATAGAATTTTCTAGGGAGAGCATATGAAATGGCAAAAAAGCTAAGGACCAAATCTTGGTGAACATGAAGCAATAAGGGACAGGGAGAACGAGGTGAGACACAGTGAAGGAAGCTGGGAAGAAGCAGCCAAAGATGTAGGGAGAGTGAGGCCAGTAACTACTGCAGTTGGATAGGGGAGTGGGAAGCCTGAGGAAAGGCCAGGGATATGGCGACCTCGAGGGTGCTCTTGAAGGGTTAGCACCGTGAGGGAGCTGGAAGTCAATTAGCTGAAGTTAAGGAAGGAAAGAGGGAAACAGAAGTGGAGATAGAGAGTGTCTCTGGAGGAAAGAGAGACAGTGATGGAACAGTATCTCCGGGTTGTGGGAATAAGACTGGGAGTGAAGTTTAGGAGGCCAGTGGAGGCTCGGTTTGGGAGCGGGATGGGCTCACGACGAGAAAAGACAGCTTACTGTTCTTTATGTGGAGTGTGATACAGCTGCTGCCACGTGGGGCAAGGCAGGTGTCAGATCCCAGAAGGCACCCCAACTCCTTTGTCTCAAAGAGGCATCGATAGCAGCGCAGGTATTTGGGAAGCTGAGGTGGAGGAGGGGGTTCCCAATTGACGACAGCAAAATTACCTAGAACACAGGGGAGCACTGATCCTGAGCCGCCCTCCCACCAATTCCAGGCTGCTAAATCCCACCATTCCTTCTCACCTCCTAATCTCAATAACACTATAAAATCATCAATTCTTTAAAGTCATCTGGTTTAATTTTCTATCCAATGCTTTACTCCTCGTTGAGATCTCTTTGGTTTTTGGCCCTTTTATACAGCTCTGGTAGCGTAGTGTGTAAGGTATTTGACCACTAACTAGAAAGCTGGCAGTTCAAACCCACCAGCCACTCCTTGGAAGGAAGGTTGGGCAATCTACTTCCTTAGAGATACTGCCTCGGAAACCTAAGGAGGGGTCGCTATGAGTTAAATTGGCTCAATGACAATGAGTTTGGTTTTTTGGTTTATACAGAAATGAGATACCTCTTCACTACTCACTAGTAGAGGCTGGAGACACCAGTGATAGGGAAGTTCCTGGGCCAAGCCCCAAATTTTATCCCTTCACTCCACATGGACTTTATCATCACTGCTCCATATCCTACCCTGAGCCAAAAACGGAAAAGATTCCTAGAACTGCATTCATTCATTCATTCAGCATGTATTTGAGGGGCTAACATGTGCCCAGTGTGCTTCAAGCTTTAAGTTTAAAGCTTAGGCCAAGGCAACCCATTCCAGCTTTAGGAAGCCCTATTGGCTCACTTCTTCCTCTGTGACTTGACATCTCTGTCCCTCACCATCCTGGTCACTCTCGTTTGAACATGCTTTCTTTATCTGTGATGTTCAGAAGTGAAAACAAGAGTTCATCACAGGGCAGGGAGAATCTCTGCTTCCAGTAAACAGGAGACTTCAAGCAGCCCAGGGCCACATTTTGTTTTTGGTGGTTCAATCACTGGACAGACTCATACTAAACTTTGTCTACCAAAACCCCATTCTCTGTTTCCCCTCCCCAACTGCATGAATATACATGTCCCTCCTCCACTGGTCCCAGGCCCCGGCTACACAGCGTTAAGTTGTCCCCAGGCCCAGCACAGCATTTGATGTAAAGGCACCTGCTAAAAAAACACTGAATCCTGATTCTATGCAGATGGTGCTTTGCCGTCAACTGAGGAGGCTGTTGTTTTGGATTAGGCCTTGTTCTACCCTGTGGATCTTATTTCTGTCATCTGGCATGTTCCTCAATCCTCCTTATTCTGTGTCTGCCCTCACATTTCAAGAAGATTCCTTTAGTATCTCCATTCAGGTCACTGCTATTGAGTGAGTCAGCCCTGAACAGTCGGTAGAAATCTCAGGGTGACCATCAGTCCATTATTAGTCTCCAAGGATTTGTCCACCACATCCCCCTATCCCACTTCTCTCCTACCTGGATTTACCTGAGTGTCTTGAGCAGATGGACCCATCTCACCTGGTGTCTGTGGATGTCCCCATTCACCAAGCCAGGAGACCCCTCTGACCCCTCAAAACCACTTACCAAACACCAAGCTCTTCATGACCAGCACTAATAAGAGCACCATGCACAGAGTTTGGGAGGTGCTGTGGAGGCCTAGGAGTCCCAGACTGCGCCTACTTGCAGGGCCTGCCATTAAATGCATGACTGCTCACCAGCTCCTACTTTGGGTTTATATGGGTGGGAGAGAGACTGGCCAAGAGGAAGAAGATGGGCAACACCAGTTTAGGGTGGAATCAGTGCCAGAACAGTCAGAGGAACAGGACGTCCTCACCCTCAGGCAGTCTGGGAGTCTAACATCCTGATTCAGGGACAGGGGCCCAGCGAGGATTGAGAGGACTTTCATCTCATTCAACCGACATTTACTGAATCACTGCATCAAATGCTGGGAATACAACTGTGCACAAAGTGTCTGTCCTCACAGGGCATACAGTCTAGCCAGGAAGAGAAGTCAACAAGCAATGATGAGAAAAGGACAGAGTGCTGCCCAGAGAACAGCTGGAAAGTGAAACCACTGACCAAAGAGATTGGAGCAGAGGAGTGACATGATCAGAGTTCTGTTTGTAAACATCACTGTGGCTGCACATTGGAGAATAAAAGGATTGATGAGTGGAAGCCAGGAACGAGTTAAGAAGCTATTCCAGAGTTCAGTCACAAGATGGCGGCCTCGCCTAACAGAAAGAACGTATGAAAACAGGCGAGGAGTGAACGAGATATACTTAAAAGGAAGACTGGACAGATTTGGTGTCCAACTGGATGTAGGGAGAGAGAAGACAGACAGGATTGCCCAAGGGGGTGGCTGGTGGTACCATCTTCCAAGATGGGACTGTCAGAAATCCAAAAAGAGGACATCTCAGCCCAGTGCCCTTTGCTCCCTTGGGGTCCCGGGAAACCACGCCTCCCCCCGCCCTTCTTTCTCTCGCCCCACTCAAACTGCGGGTTAATTGGCCTGATCTCCGGCACCCACAGGTTCCGGCACGGCCCGTTCGCTCTCAGTGCCTGACTGCGTCTCAGAGCTCCCCTGAGGACTCGGGGGCGGCCCTGCTCAAGCTCAGTTCTCTGCCAAGAGGCGGGAAGAAATTTGGGAAGTGCCGCCCAGGGTCGGCACCCGGGCCTCCGGCCCCTGCGAAGACCCAGAGCCACGCGCTGTTGCTCCGCACTGTGGCGCTATGGTACTACTACTTCTCCCAGACTGAGACTCCAGAGATCCCACAGCGACCCGTGTACGGTCAGAGGCGGCCCGCAGACTTCCCGTCCATTTCCTCCTCCAATCAACCAACCAACCAGCCTCACAGCCGTGGAGTCAGATACGACTCCTAGCGACCTCTCGCTGGGTCTCCAAGGCGGTATCACTACGGGAGTAGATCGCCCAATCTTCCTTCCCAGGAGTGGCTGGTGGGTTTGAAGCACTACCTTCTGATTAGCAGTCAAATGCCTTAGGCACTACGCCACCAGAGCTCCCAGCTGGCCTGGTCCATCAACCTTCTGTGAGAGATTGCGGGGCTTTAGTTTAAGGTTGGGTAAGACAATGGGAGGAAGACTTCTTAACAACCTGAGATATGTGGATGACACAACGTTGCATGCTGAAAGGGAAGAAGACTTGAAGCACTTAACTAATAAATAAAACTAAAATCCTCACAACTGAACCAATAAGCAAGATCATGATAAATGGAGAAAAGATTGAAATTGTGAAAGATTTAATTTTACTTGGATCCATAATCAATGCCCACGGAAGCAGCAGTCAAGAAATAATACATATTGCACTGGGCAAATCTGCTGCAAAAGACTTCTTTAAAGCATTAAGGAGCAAGGAAGTCACTTTGATGACTAAGGTGTGCCTGACTCAAGCTGTGGTATTTTCAATAGCCTCTTATGCATGTGAAAATTGAACAGTTAATACAGAAGACCAAAGAACTGATGCATTTGAATTGTGGTGTTGGCGCAGAATATTGAAAATACCACGGACTGCCAGAAAAAATGAACAAATCTGTCTTGGAAGAAGTGCAGCTGGAATGCTCGTTAGAAGTGAAAATGGCCATACTTCATCTCCTGTACCTTGGTCATGGTATCAGGAGGGGCCAGTTCCCTGGAGAAAGACATCATGCTTGGTAAAGTAGAGGGTCAGTGAAAAAGGGGAAGGCCCTAAATGAGGTAGATTGACACAGTGGCTGCAACAATGGGCTGAAGCATGACAACAATTGGGAGGATGGTGCAGGACCAGGCAGCATTTCTTTCTGTTGTACAGAGGGTTGCTGTAAGTCAGAACTGACTCAAAAGCACCTAAAAACAATTGGCAATGAAAGGTCCTCAGCGTCCGGGAATGACACCACCTGTCCCAATTTCCTGGCTTGAGTTTCAGGACAGGGCCCCAGATGACCCAGGAATCATCCCATTAGGGGTGTGAGGTGGGGATGGTGGGGAATATGGGAAGAAAGAGACACTGGACAGGAATAAAATTGGAGGGATACATGCTCCACTATGTCAAAAACTCAAACCTGTTTCCAGCTAGTTTGTTGATTGGTGGGGAGTCCATGTGTTAGAGTAGAACTGGTCCAAAGGGTTTTCTGGGCTGTAATCTTCACAGAAGCAGATTACCAGCTTTTCTTCTGCAGAGCCTCTGGGTGGGTTCAAACCGCCAACCTTTAGGTTAGCAGCCAATTGCAAGCCTCTTGTGCCACCCAGTTACCTCCACCCCCTCCTCCCATCCTGAAATACATGAATTAGTACATTGTATTCAAGAAAAATCAGTAATGGAAAACCGGGGAGGAGTGCAAATGTATGTTGAATGAATGAGTGGACAGAATAATAGACAAAAGGAATCAGAGAGCAGGGCTCTTGTAGCCAAGAGGGAAAAGGTGCACAGAGGGTCTCTCACAGCGCCCTCAAACCCCTCTTTCGAATATGGCTACAAATAAAGGGCAAGGACTAGGGGGCAAAAGGAGGCTGAGGCTAGCCTCCAAGAAGGAAGTCATCTAGGGAGGTCCAGGAGGGCAGGCTGTAGAAGTACAACTACCTGTGGAGCCCTGAGGTTTACAGGACCCGGGTGTTATTTCTGGGATGTGATGGGATGGCGTGGGCGTGGCTTCTTTGGAGGGGCGTGACCTCACAGTTCTTAATCCCACCCTTGTTTCCTTCTAGCTACTTTCCAGTCCCAAGGCAGGGCATAGCCAATGAGAACACAGTAGTGCTGTGCCCTGGAAAGTTTATTGCCAGGGTAATGGGCTCTACTGAAGACTTTTCTGGGGTGAAAAGGCGGGGTATTGTAACTTTTACCCTGATGAGGCTCTAAATCCCCTTTCTCTCAGCCCCCATCCTCTCTACCAGTTTTCCCAGCTCCTTGGGCCCACATGGGTGTCCAGGCCTCACCTGGTACCCAGCAAAGCAGGACCCAGAGTCCCAGAAGCTGTGGGGTCTGCATCTCAGCTGATCTTTCCTTAGGACTGCTGGAACCTGGTTATACAACTGACCCTTGAACAACATGGGGATTAGAGGTGCTGACCACCACCTCCAGTGAAAAATCTATACAGAACTTTTGACTCTTCCAAATCTTAACTACTAATAGCCTACTGTTAACCAGAAGCCTTACCAAGAACATAAACAGTTGATTAACACCATTCTTGCTGTACAGTTAGTAGATTTTCACACGAAGACCCACACATACACAGCAGATAAGATTATGAACTGTATGGCATGATTATTTACTATTCATCAAGTAGAAGTGGGTCATCAGAAAGGTCTTCATCCTTGTCATCTACATGTTCAGTAGGCTGAGGAGGAGGAAGAAGAAGGCTTGGTTGTGCTGTTTCAGGGGGTGGCAAAGTCAGGTGGAAGAGATGGAAGGGGAGGCTGGAGAAGCAAGCATACTCAGTGTAACTTTACAGAAATACAACATCATTTCTGTCTGACTCTTGCTTTCTCATTTGTCTAAAATGTTCCTACACAGTATCAATCCCTCTTGTACCATTTGCTTTAGTTTTAGTGCATGTATCACAGAAGGGTCCATGTCATAAAAGGTAAATGCTGTCTTGAATAATGGGAACCCTTCTGCCAGATTGTCTAATGCCCATTTGTTTTCTGACGCTGCTTCCTCTATGTCTTCTTCGTCATCATGTGGCACTCATCTCCACCAAGTCATCTTGTTAATTCCTCTGGTGTGGTGTCTATTAGCTCTTGAATGTCTCCAATATTCATATCTTTAAATCATTCTCCCCTCAACTTTTTTGCCATATCCACAATCTTTTTAATGATTTCCTTGATTGGCTCTGTCGTAAATCCTGTGAAGTCATGCACAACATCTGGACACAGGTTTCTCCAGCAGGAATTTATTGTTTGGGCTTGATAGATTTCACAGCTTTTCTGTAACAAATGATGGCATTCAATCCTTCCAGACTTTCATGATGTTCTATCAGTGCTTTTTTCTATAGTGTTGACAATCCTTTCCATAGCGTTGTGTGTGTTAATGAGCCTTAAATGTCCTTATGACCTTCTGATCTAGAGGCTGAATTAGAGACATTGTGTTTTGGGGCAGTAGACTACTTCATTGCCTTCCATGTTGAACTCATGGAGTTCTGGGTGGCCAGGGGCATTGCCCAGTATCAAAAGAACTTTAAAAGGCACTGGCAGGGTACTTCCTGACTTCAGGGACAAAACATCCATGGAACAAATCCAGGAAAAGGGTTCTTGTTGTCCAGGCTTTCTTGTTGTCCAACCAAAAGACTGGGAGCTGGTGTTTATCTTTTCCTTTCAAGGCTCAGGGGTTAGGAGCTTTATAGATAAGGGCAGTACTGATCATAAACCCAACTCAGTAGGTTAGCCTGTCCCTTCCTACCTTAAATCCAGGCACATGCATTTCTTCCTTACTAAATGTCCTTTGTGGCACTTTCTTCCCCCACCCCCCAAGCATAGGGGACTTTCATCTGCATTAAAAACTTGTTCAGGCAGATATCCTTTCTCCTCAATAATTTTCTTAATGGCATCTGGGAACCTGTCTGCTATCTCTTAGTCAGCAGAAGCTGCTTCTCTGTTAACTTGACAATTTTAAGCCAAAATCTTTCTAAAATTATCAAACCATCTTTTGATGACATCACATTCTCTAGCTTTAGATCCTTCATTTTCCTTTTGCTTTACATTGTCATATAATTGCTT